TCGTAAGGCGCATACGATTATATTACTAATTTACGGTGCATCACTTTCATAACTCGACACCGTGTTAACATATTTTATTCGAAAGTACAAAAATCGGCGTCGAGTGTCGTTCAATCATAATATTAATATAATAATAATAATAACAATACGAACTCCTCGTATCCTGCGTGCTGAATCCTATAAATAGTTTATTAAACGTCAACGGTACCCTAGTTAATGTTTTTCGACGTATAATACAACATTCGGTTCCCTGTGGAATAATAATATTTAATAATATCGGAAATAAATTAAGCCCCGGCTCTGCTCTGGCGAGGCGGTGAGCGGCGTCCTTCGTAATATGCCTGCCGGTCACGAGATGAAGGCACGCGAACGGCGTACAAAACCGATTATTTATTTACAACGGATAAACGTGGAAAGCCGGGTTCAGGGTTTGATAAGAATTACAGATGACATTCGCCATGGTTTCGGAAATATTACATCTAACTCTTGCTCCGTATAAATAAAACATGACTGTCGAAAACGGTTTGGGAAATGTTTTATTACGCGATGTGTATTATGCTATGTGGTACGGCGATCCTATAGAATATTTAGAGGTGCAACGCCCCGGATGGCATATAGCATCATCGCCGTCTCCCTTGTCTGCCTTTGTTGTGCGTCTGCTGTTCGGATATACGAACCGTTATCCGGATTTCTCTATAATCCAGTGGCGTACGTAACCACCCACCTATATATAATACCGGTAACGCATTGAACTTTCGCTTTCGAAATAACTATTGTATACCTATAAGTTTATACATACATCGGAGGAAAAAAACGGAACTGAAATAGGAAGAAAAAAAATCAAATAACATCGACGGTCGATATCCATTTCCACCCCTACTTCCCCTCCACCCATACGCTCACCAAACCACTAAACATAATAATATAATGTATTAAATAATATTATATTTATCTATATTATACACATTTACATCCATATTATAATTTAAATGTAACAGTGTACTGCTTGCGTATACCTATAATTATAAGTATATATTCAAAAATACGTATTAATCGGTCATAAACTAAAATTATTCACTTTTCGTGTAAACTATATATTTTATTTTTGAAAACGTAAACAACGCAGTAGTATAACGTGTATTATATTATACATACTAGTATACAACACGTACATAATGTTACTATAAAAATACCATATACCTATTATTATATATCAATTATGCCCACAGCGGCGACTGTATTATACACCGAAGTAAAGATTTTTTAATAATAATAATTGTCTCGGGGGCCGATCCACGAGAGTCAGGCGGTTTGAAGAGGAAAATGCGGAAGTGAGGTGGATATAGGGTTGTTAACGTCGTCCTCGAATCTGCCACAGTCGCACCCCGCTCGTGGAAATCGATCGAGAAAGATATCAAAATGTGTGACAGTAATAATTTTCTTTCGCTATTTATATAAAATATATACTACGCATACCATATACACGCATACCAATCGTACAAGAGGTACTGCACATGGTGGCGCGTTCGGTGAAGTAAGCTTAAATTTTTTTTTTTATAACCAACCATTGTTAGGTTAGGAAAACCATTACATTATAGTATGATTGTACTTGCGGTGATGAAACGAACACGATTTTCGTTCAACCGATAGCCACTGTCGTTTTAAAGTGCTTACATCATATTTAATAGCTACAACAGTGGGTGAAAGTAAGGGGTGAAGAGATGAACCCGAGGAGCACCCTGTATGTGTGTGGTCCTTTTCACTCTCAGATCCGAACCAAGCATGTGTGTTTATGTTGTGTAGTGACTTAACTGACTGCACGGTAACTTGTGTGTGTGTGTAAGTGAGGGTTAGGGATTATAAGGGGGAGGGGGTGTCAGGCGGTGTACTAGCCACGGACGAGCTTAACGAGCAATAAAACACGACGAGGGCGACGACCGTCCATCGCCCCCGGGGATTTGATTAGAACATGGTCGGCCGATTTTGGTTTGACCGCGAAATTTATTCCAGCCGACCGCTGACGCGGAAAACGTTAATGTGCCGTCCAAGCTGAAAGAGGTGCCAGGTGCGATGGGTATTAGTTACACGACGTATAAAAACGCACTACGGATGTGGGTACATCCTCAGTGGACAGCTGTGCGGGGACTCCCGACCCGTATATAATATAGTAATTATTGTTTAAACTCGATAAAATAGTATACATAATGATATAATATATTCGTGGCCAACAAAACTCGCCACCGAAACGTAAAATATATATAATAATAAAATATCTATAAATACTGATATACGAGTACACACTCACATTTACCATATAAAATATCAATAGGTAGCAAAATACTCATACAAATTGTACGAATGGTGATAGTATCATTGTCATCGTCGTCGTCATCGTCATCTATTACCGGAATCGTTCGGTCTGGGCTTTTTGGACCACGTAGGTAATACGTGTCCATATTATAATACATGTTGTCACCAAACGGACACAACACACACACACACATACAACACATGTATAATAATATTATATATACAGAGGATAGCGTCGCGAAAACTTAACGGCGGCTATAACTTACTTTTCGTCCGGTTAACCGGACACCGCGTTATAGTATTATTATTATTATAAAATATGATAAACAACGAGTAGGGTGCTAGTAAGTTTTGATGAAGTCCTCTTTCCCATTTCCTCTCTCGTTCCTCACTTATTGCTTATATACATATATTATATTATAGGTGTACAAGAGATGCACATACATCCACCACACGTAAATTGCATAAAGCTTTATATATTACACTTACATGTATATGTTCGACGAGCTTATACTTGCTCCTGTCATCGCTTCGTTCGGCCTAGCGCATTTGCATATAAATCGGCAAACGCTACTCCTCGCCGCCCCAGCTTCATGGAAAAATGACGCCTGAAAACATCGTTGACTTTAAAATGCATTATAATTTATAATATGTATTTGTCGACACGACGAACTAAAACTTTAACCGTCCGCCGTCTTGACGTGCGTTACCGCGGTGGAGGCTCACTTATTATTACCTATACTAGCATTGTACAAGTACCTACTTAAAGACTTATTATTATGCGTACATAGTCCGAAGTGGTTTGAAACCGTTTTCCAAATCAATGCACACTGCCGGTTGTATCTACGTCGTGATTAATGATATAGTTGTTATTCAAATCTTCCTAAATGATCAAAATATACCGATATAAAAATGAATGTAGGTTGAAAAATTAAAACTACTCTAGTTATAAAATATGAAAAAGATAATACCTAAAATAAAAAGAACGTGAACTAAAAAATGACTTGTAAGAAAATAAAAATATTGTTTTTGGCGTCCAAGCACTGTAGTTGTTTAAAAATCCGAAATGGATTATGATCTGGAAACATAAAACAATCAACGTATACAAATATTTTTATATATATATTAAGTATGTTTTCATTTATAATAATATAAGCTACTTATATTATAGTATCGTGTCTCGTGCATTGTTGGGTTGTTCTAAACCCAACTAATTTTGTACTTTTACAAGGTAATTTCATATTATTTTGAATTATTGATGTACCTGCAACCTGCTTATATATTTCCAAAGAGTAACATCTACAATATTGTAAAAAGTTGTAATTTAAAATGCATTATTCGACGATTTTACCGGTCTGATACAATATTAATGTAATATTAACACAATTTTACTCAAAGTAAATCATTTTTCGTCAATAAAAACAAAAAAATTATATATGAATGAACTCTAAGAGGAATAAGTATTAAAAAAAATTTTTTTCATTTTTTCGTTTCAAGATCTGAGTTTACTAATGTGCACACCTACATTAGTTGCACCAGAGCTGTTATTAAAAACGTTTTTTTCCGTCCAATAAATTTAATTTCGGGGGGGGGGGTGGGGCGGGAGTTGGTTGACCCGCCATGTTCCAAAACCGTGAGTAAATGGGTTTGTTTGTTTTTTTATTTTTTTAATAATATCCGTCCATTGTTTACGGCCTATTTATCTCAATGACCGTTCAGCAATATACTAAGCCTATTAAACAGTGATTTGTATAAATCACCCTTATACTTTTCAGAGCTATGAGGGTATATAATTTATATACGTATATTATATTATTATACAGAACGTTGTTTATTTGCCGCCAGAACGTAAAAATAATAAAAATGCTTCATTTTGTGTATCGCGTTGCACACTATAGTCCGTGTATATCTATTGTATAATTTTCTTTAATGTCCAATAAAAATAAAATATGAATTATAGAGAAAGTTATTTTTCTCAGTATCTCCGATTCTTATCGAAATGTCCAATTTAGTTTAGAAAACATTACTTTTTTCGTAATTTAAAATGGATCCCTCGTGAGCCCCCCCCCCCCCGCTACAATGCGATAACCTACTTGCTCATAACGTAAACGATAAACATTATATCTTGACGAAAATTGTGATTTAAAAAAATTACAATAACAATATTATGTACTCGTAATGGCATTGGCGTTATTTTTGGAGAGGGGGGGGGCAAGAAGGGCTGATTCTCCTGTCATTTTTAAAAACAATATTTCTCACTGGGTAATGCCCTTGGTTTATTGCTTGTCATAAATAATATTTTGTCACCCAATGACTGCATTATTAGGATGAAAACACCAGGTCAGCACGATTAGCTAAAAGAAAAAAAAAAATTCACAATCTGGACGGACATACAATTTGACGTTATTTTAATTGATACAGCTCAAAGTATTGTTTCTTTTAAAATACAAGCGTTACAAGCATATTATGCATCCTCCAAAATTGATCTATTTTTCAATTTAGATGTTATTTTCGAAGCGTTCGTAATCGTGGCGCGTTAGACGAATAATGATGTTTTGGTACAGAAAATATTATACTAAAAAAATAAAAATAGAAATTATTTATAATAATGTTTATTGCATAGATTATATTTATTTTTCATAATCTCTCAGCGTTGTGTTATTATTTAGTGGTTGTCGGCATTTTCGTCAATGTGCTATTGGTACCTCATGGGATATCAGAAGCCTCCCAGCGAGCGGGCTGGTAGTTCTACTGATGTGAGGAGGGGTTTTGAAATACGCCGCGTCTTAGCAGATAAAATCGCCCCACCGCGAAACCACCTCGCGTTTCAGAAGATATACTTTGCCGATTATGGCCCAGCGCCCGGTAAGCACCAGAGGCGGCCCCAAGGGGCTACGACGGCCGGAACAGGTCTTGCTCAGAAAACGGATCCTTATATTTATATATCGGAGTAAATCACTTACCCGAATTCGCAATACTGAAATGAGAGAGATAGAGAGAGGAGAGAGAGGGCGAGAGCGTTAGCTTGATAGGTTTTTGGATTTTTGTGGCAACTTTGTTTGTTATATATTATATATTTTACATTACAATTTATTGGAGTTGACCTATATATATATGTATATACCTATATATATTAGTTTACAAGAACGCAAAGTGTATTTAAATAAATTGTATCATTTAAAAAAGAAAATCAATCGTCGATATCTCCTTGCATATTGGACACTAAAATTATTTTATACTTTCTAGCTTATTACAAACTTACTAACATTTGTATTATAATGTAAATTTACGACAGTGTAAAAGACGTTATTGAAGTAAGTGAAACAAAAATAAAAATAATAATGTATTATTAATCAGTATTCCATGGGCTTACTTGGACACAATAATTTATCATTAATGGAACGTGTTTCTTTAATGCATGCACTATTTTAACTGGGTGTCATATAAAATTAGATTTGTATATTTTTTCTACTACTTATTTTTCATAGATAGATATAATAATAATATCAATATCATATTATTATTATAGTATGGTGAGTCCTACTTCTTGAAAAAAAATTTATTCTATATAATAATCAGTGAGTCAACCTAACTTATCAATTTTAACGACATGAGTACTATATTCTTAATACTCTCTAATCTAGACAACTCGACTCCTATATTTAATATGTACATTTTTGTATTTTATGTTGGATGTGCATACTTTTTACATTAAATCCGAAACTTATATGTATATTTATAATATGTGTTGAATTTTTTTTATAAAAATTTGCATAGCTTACACGCGATTACACAAATCATATCTTTATACCTGACGTCCTGACTAACAAATTTAAATTACAATTTTTTTTCTGTTTAACTGGGAAATAATTTTACATAATACGTGAAGACCAAAATTATTTTCAATTCAAATACATTCAAATGTATATACATATTACATATATAATGTATTGAAAATAAATAGAATTGTTTCTTTAACGTTGGTATTTACAAATTCACATCAGTGGGGTATATTGCTTTTAAGTTTTAAGTATTAAGAGAATTATTGATTCTCCTTCAGTTAAAACATTGAACGTACGTAGGTACATGTTTAAGTTTTTAAGTGCTGGTGACTGCGTCATGTTGAGAAATCCTTTGAAAAAAAACCCCAAAGTGTATCTGAAGCAGTCCCAGCACACATTACCATTATTCTTTGTGCGTATGAAAATATGTTGCATTTATTTCATGTTTTTATCGATTTAAAACTTACACAGCTATTATACTATTAAGTACGTTATTATACGATATGTCCTCATACGTTCGAACGCTTAACGAAGCCATTTGAAGCTTATTTACTCATAATAAACTACAGATTTCGTTTAAAATATGCATTTATAAAGAACAAAATACAACTATTACATATAACCATAATAATATTATATACCACTATTACATAATAATATATGTCATTGTGACCATTATTCTGTATTTAAAAGTAAACGTATAGCACACGTTGTAAGCATTATTAAGTCATCATATTTTAACGCTTAAAGCGCTAGGCTTAAGGCTTATCCATTATAAAAAAAATCTCGTTGTATGCGTAATTTTGTTCTGCACTATGCGATATTTATCTTGCCGTTCAAACCTTATTTTATCGCTGGAAATAAATTGTTTTGTCTGTGGACTTACACAATAACTCTTCTCCTTTTTTAAACATTCGATTGCTTTTGTATAAAATATTATATCAAGTTGCACGAAATCTATCGATAGGATAGTATGCCCTCTTCGGACAAGAAAATCACTGGAATATTTTCAAAGCTATATAATAATATTACTATATTATATATTTATATGTAGTTTTAGTAAAATACACTATGATTTAACGAGACGATATTCCATTAAATAAAATATTATTGGATTCACATACATATTTTTAATAAATAATTATTTACTTACCTAGAAACCGTTTTTGAATTTAATGCGGTGAAAAATACTTTGTACCTATTTTAGTATTTATTGTTATATATTTGGCAGCTATGCGGTACGATCAACGGTGAAACATATTTTGTAAATACAATTCCATTTACCTATAGTTATTTTATGGTACAGTTATGCAAGGATACAATTTTCCCCAGTCAAATATTTAAAATGATGATTTAATATTAATTTGTGATTAATTATAAAATAGTACTGGCTTCCAAGTAATAAATATTATTCTTATTGACATAATTCCACCACATCTTATTATACTGATATTAATACCACGGTAAACCTTTAATAAACGATAGAGACACTTATAATTAAAATTATTCACGTTTATTTTAATCGTGAAGTTATGAATGTTTGTGAGGTGAAAAAAACAATTAAGACTTGCAAGACTGCCAAATTTGACCTATTCGTTTTGGTTGCTCTACAAATATGTGCAAGTAAATTACATTTAAAATGTTAACATTAAGGTGGAGTGTACCGTGATCACTGGACCTAAAACCAATGTAATATGTTTATAATTATTTTAATTTTGTTATGCACAAACAAAATATCCACCCTGAACCCAAAAGTCGGGAATGCTATGTATTCGGAGGATCTGTGTAGGAGAAAGGTATAGTTTGATCAAGCGACTTCCACCTCGTGTAGGATACAACATCGCGTTTCCATAAATAATATTGTAATGAGGATTTTAAAACGTCAGATTATACGGATGCAGCGTGGGTGTCTATTCAAAAATATTTGAAATTTCACGTCATCTGATGTTCCAAGAGGAGGTCATTCATTACATGAAATATACTGTAGAATAATTATAGTATCGTCTAGTAATTTTCTATTTTTTAATTTAATTCGCCACTAGAAATCGTGGGCGTTGCGGCTTTTCGTAAAATTTATTAACAGCTGCCACTACAGCAGTTATATATATATATATTTTGTATATCTATACGTACACGTAATAATATATTATTGGTCCCTATCGGCAATAATACACAAACTACGCGAGCAGCACTGTGTGAATAGAACGGTGCTGTAAATTATTGTTTTAAGGCGGAGAGGGGCCTACGGTCGTGGGTTGTATATATATATATACTACGTGCATCGCCACTAAATCGCGCGAGCAGCCGAGGCGGAGGCTCTGCGGTTTTGTAATTTCGATGGCGAATTACATTCGCACTATGTAGACGAATTACAACAACACTGTAATGAAAGACGAAATGAATTTTTTCAACACGGCGTCCTTTTTTAACTCTTGTACACGATGAGTGCGTAGTTGTAGTGAAGTGCAGACGTCTCTACAGACGGGCACGTTTGCAGATTTCCATGTGTGCCGTGTAAAGCAAAATGTTTATGACGTTTGCTATACCTATAATGTGTCGCCAAACCACAGCTTGCGTCTTAACATTTTTACTAATATAATAATAATAGGTATTATTTATATTTATTATCATATTGTTCGGCTCGCGACTTTCTCATCGCTGGCTATTCCAGCAGTATTATATTATATTATTATGTACCTTGACCAGGTCCAAGACACCTGTGTTCTGAAATCTACATTCTGCTGAAAAAATCTTTCACTTTATTTCCGATCGTTTGTTTTTCGAATCGGTTTTATAATGGCCGTCTGACTTTACAACTGAAAATATAATAATTTATAACGACTATGGACTGCTGTCGTGGTGTGCCGGGCGGAAACTCGTGATATTTTTCGTCTCCATCTTTTATTACGTTTACATAATAATATAATATTATTATATAGTACGTACGTATACGTTAGAACGCTGAAATATTAATTTCATTTTGTGTGCTGAAATTCTAATAATATCCAAAATTCAAATTAATAAACTGCGCCGTGGCATGGTTGTAACATGTACGTATATGTATATAGTGAATTTCCGTCATATTTTTCCAGTGAAAAATCTCTTACCAAGCAACCTCGAGAGTCATTCTCCTGCGTTTTATCCTTCTCACCCCCTTCTCCATCAGCTGTTCTAAAGAACACTTGTAAACGTAGCTAATAATATTATTATATATATTATATAGCGTAACTGTGTTATATAACGGACTTCTTAGAAAACAATGGAATGTGCACGTGGTTAATAATATATAAGTTGGTAAAAATGAAAACTTAGCAGAATTTTACATTGTTCACCGCCTAAACGCATTACATTATACGGTGATTTTACAAAGTCTTGAGTTTGGTTTATTATTACTAATTACGTGAACGTCTACCTCAATTTTCGTGGTTAAAATCATTTTAACGACATAATAATATTCTATGTACCTACCTATACATTTTCATAAAAATTTTATGTGCCAGTAAATTTTCATAGTTCAGTGAATACGGTCAAAGATTGCAGGTTTTTTATTACCCCGTACACATAATTGAGAAAATAATTTATTTTTTTTAATTTTTATCTTTAATTAATGCCGTGTCACGGTGTTGTTTATATTCAGGAACATTATTGTTATTTATGTTGTTGCAAAAAATTGGAAACAGTGTCGGAATAACAAAATGCAAAATGCATACAGTTTATAAATTATATTGATATTACTATATTATAATATATTATATACACTAAAAATTTATAAGCACACTGTGATACCATCCTTTAGATTTTAATCACGTTATTAAATTTATTGATGTGGTAATTAATTTGGAACTATTGTAGATAAATCTGACGGGTGTTTTACTAAAAACCGATACTAATATGACTTATAACTTATTACAAATTTAAAAAGTATTAGACATCTTCTCGTGAAAAATAATTGCCTCACGTGTAACAATAAATTATAAAATACATATTTTCTCCACAACTGTATATTATTATTTTAAATAATCCATTATTGATTTTATTGTATTAATATTTTTAAAATGACTTCAATTAATTAATTAATACGTTTTTTAAATGAATTATCCACAAGTACTTATATAATTTTACCAAATATACCTATATTTAATTAATTTTCATGTTTGCATAGTACAGTTTAC